TATGAGGGATCGTCTAAGAAAGTAAGTAAGTAATTAAGTAAGTAAGTAAAGTAGCCTGACCTCTATTGCCCGGAGGCATTCTCTACTTGGGAGATATTATCCAACACTTTCAACATCCGTAGGGAGACCAAGAGGCTTGTTTATAAAGCTATTGTCCTCCCAACCCTGCTCAACGCCTGCGAAACGTGGACTGTCTACAGACATGACATGCTACTACTGGAATGATTCCATCAGCGCTGCCTCTGGAAAATCCTGCAAATCTCTTGGGAAGACAAGCGGACAAAGTCAGCGTGCTGGAAGAAGCAAAGACCACCAGCATTGAAGCGATGGTCCCCTGCCATCAACTCCGCTGGACCAGCCACGTTGTCCGGATGCCCGACCACCGTCTCCCAAAGCAGTTGCTCTATTCCGAACTCAAGAACGGAAAATGGAATGTTGTTGGACAGGAAAAGAGATTGAAAGATGGGCTCAAAGCCAACCTTAAAAACTCTGGCATAGACAACCCGGTCAGGGTTAGCTTGACATGCCTTCCTCTTGGCACGCTTCTCTCTTTCGCCCTCCATTTGTGCATCTTCAAATTCTGCAGCACTGCTAGTCACAGCTGACCTCCAGCTGGAGCGCTCACAGGCCAGGGCTTCCCAGTTCTCAGTGTCTATCCTTTTGGATTATACCTTTGAAATACTGCAACCAAGTCACCTGTACTTGTGTGATGCTTTTGCACAAGCTTTCGTGAGCAAACCTTTTCTTTTATTATATCTACCGGTTGATTTTTTTTTTAATGGTGTACTGAATTCATTTTGTCTAGGTGCATGCTTGATAAAGGGAAAGGGGGTGCTGTGATACGCTGCTTTGATAAGCTGACTTCTGCCTGGGTTGTTGTAGGTTTTTTCGGGCTATATGGCATGTTCTAGAGGCATTCTCTCCTGACGTTTCGCCTGCATCTATGGCAAGCATCCTCAGAGGTAGTGAGGTCTGTTGGAACTAGGAAAAAGGGTTTATATATCTGTGGAAAGACCAGGGTGGGACAAAGGACTTGCCTGCTGGAGCTAGGTGTTAATGTTTCAATTGACCACCTTGATTAGCATTTGATAGCCTGGAAGTGCCTGGAGCAAACTTTTGTTGAGAGGTGATTAGATCTCCCTGATTGTTTTCCTCTCTGTTGTTTTGCTGTTGTAATTTTAGAGTTTTTTTTAATACTGGTAGCCAGAATTTGTTCATTTTCATGGTTTCCTCTGAGTAGTCTGACATGGTGGTTGTGAGAGTGGTCCAGTGGTGACACAACCACCATATCAGGCTACACAGAGAAGCCATTGAAATCCACAAGCAGGTGGACAATTTCAACAGAAAGGAGGAAACCATGAAAATGAACACAATCTGGCTACCAGTATTGAAAAAAACCTCTAAAATTATAACAGCACAACAACAGAGGGAAAACAGTCAGGCACAGTGACAGTGCCTGGAGCAATCTTTTGTTGAGAGGTGAATAGATGTCCTTGTTTGTTTCCTTTCTGTTGTTGTGCTGTTGTAATTTTAGAATTTTTTTGTTCATTTTCATGGTTTCCTCCTTTCTGTTGAAATTGTCCATGTGCTTCTTGTGGATTTCAATGGCTTCTCTGTAGTCTGACATGGTGGTTGTAAGAGTGGTCATCTAATCACCTCTCAACAAAAGATTGCTCCAGGCACTGTCGGGCCATCAAATGCTAATCAAGGTGGTCAGTTGAAACATTCACACCTAGCTCCAGCAGACAAGAGTCCTTTGTCCCACCCTGGTCATTCCACAGATATATAAACCCTTTTTCCTAGTTCCAACAGACCTCACTACCTCTGAGGATGCTTGCCATAGATGCAGGCGAAACGTCAGGAGAGAATGCCTCTAGACCATGGCCATATAGCCCAAAAAAAACCTACAACAACCCAGTGATTCCGGCCATGAAAGCCTTCGACAATACATTGACCTCTGCCTGTTTTTCCTTTTCGGAACCCAAGCTCTCCTCGCATTCTCCCTCAGCTCTTTCCGTTGTGTTTTGACTCTGCCGATGTTATGCTAAGGAAAGGTTAGACTTTTTCCAATGCATCTGCTTTTGCCTCCAGCCTAACGGCCTTGGACCGTTCATATTTTCAGGGTAAACAGCCAATAGGGAAGGCCAGGAGCCAGGCCACTGCTCCTCCGCACTCCCACACTTTTGTGGACAGCAAACTTGTGCCTCTCCTTCTTGTGACTCCTCTGCTGCTCCTCAGATCTTTCCTTTGCCATTCTGCCCTTCCCACTCTCCTCTTCTTCTTCCCCTTCTTCCCAGTTAATAATAATAATAATAATGGGTTGTTGTAGGTTTTTTCAGGCTATATGGCCATGGTCTAGAGGCATTTTCTCCTGACGTTTCTCCTGCATGGCAAGCATCCTCAGAGGTAGTGAGGTCTATTGGAACTAGGAAAAAGGGGTTTATATATCTGTGGAATGACCAGGGTGGGGCAAAGGACTCTTGTCTGCTGGAGCTAGGTGGGAATGTCTCAACTTTTAAACAGAGGCTGGATGGCCATCTGTCGGGGGTGATTTGAATGCAATATTCCTTGATTAGCATATAATGGCCTGACAGTGCCTGGAACAAACTTTTGTTAAAAGGTGATTAGATGTTTAGCACCTGATGAACCAACCTGGACACAGCATTTTATTTGAGAAGACAGAAATGCTGGACCACTCCAACAACCACCATGTCAGGCAACACAGAGAAGCCATTGAAATCCACAAGAAGCATGTGGACAATTTCAACAGAAAGGAGGAAACCATGAAAATGAACAAAATCTGGCTACCAGTATTAGAAAAAAAAAACACCTCTAAAATTACAACAGCTAAACAACAGACAGGAAACAAACAAGGACATCTAATCACCTCTCAACAAAAGTTTGCTCCAGGCACTGTCAGGCCATTGTATGCTAATCAAGGTGGTCAGTAGAAACATTCCCACCTAGCTCCAGCAGACAAGAGCCCTCTGGGCATCTGAACATGAGGAAGAACTTTCTGACTGTGAGAGCCGTTCAGCAGTGGAACTCTCTGCCCCGGAATGGGGTGGAGGCTCCTTCTTTGGAAGCTTTTCAACAGAGGCTGGATGGCCATCTGTCAGTGGTGATTTGAATGCAATATTCCTGTTTCTTGGCAGAATGGAGTTGGACTGGATGATGGCCCATGAGGTCTCTTCCAACTCTTTGATTCTAGGATTCTATGATTTTATCATGTCTCCTCTCCTCCTTCTCTTCTTCAGGCTAAACATGCTCAGCTCTTTAAGCCACTCCTCACAGGGCTTGTTCTTCAGATCCTTGATCATATTAGTCGCCCTCCTCTGGACACTTTCCAGCTTAGGGTCAATATCTCTCTTTCTCCTGCCTCTATGGCAGGCATCCTCTCAGGTTGTGTGTGACTTTACTACCTCTGAGGATGCTTGCCATAGATGCAGGCAAAATGTCAGGAGAGAATGCTTCGAGAATCATAGAATCAGAGTTGGAAGAGACCTCATGGGCCATCCAGTCCAACCCCCTGCCAAGAAGCAGGAACATGGCTATATGTCTTGAAAAACTTACAACAACCCAGTTAGTAGTATTGTTATTCTCTCAAGAGGGTGGGAGGGAGGGAGGGAGAGAGGGCGCCCCACTTGAGCCCAGATATGGCAGCGGGAAGGAGCTGGGGGTGGTGACGGCCGACAGAGAGCGTAGCATGGGATGATGGCCCAGGAGGTCACAAAGCGACGGAAGCCACTGAATTTATTTATTTATTTATTTATTTCTCATGTCGGAGCAACCAGTCCATTATATTACATTTCTAACAGAGCAAAGCAAACAGACAAATACAAAACTTGTGAGTTTGGTAGTTGAGTAAATGTCCTTTGACCAGTCTCTGGCCCCTTGGGAGTGCTTCCGGTGTTGCTGCAAGAAGGTCCTCCATTGTGCATGTGGCAGGGCTCAGGTTGCATTGCAGCAGGTGGTCAGTGGTTTGCTCTTCTCCACACTCGCATGTCGTGGATTCCACTTTGTAGCCCCATTTCTTAAGGTTGGCTCTGCATCTCGTGGTGCCAGAGCGCAGTCTGTTCAGTGCCTTTCAAGTCGCCCAGTCTTCTGTGTGCCCAGGGGGGAGTCCTTCATTTGGTATCAGCCATTGGTTGAGGTTCTGGGTTTGAGCCTGCCACTTTTGGACTCTCGCTTGCTGAGGTGTTCCAGCGAGTGTCTCTGTAGATCTTAGAAAACTATTTCTTGATTTAAGTTGTTGGCGTGCTGACTGATACCCAAACAAGGGATGAGCTGGAGATGTCACTGCCTTGGTCCTTTCACTATTGGCTGCTACTTCCCAGGTGGTGCAATACCGGCTAAGTGTAATTTCTCCAGTGGTGTAGGGCGCAGACACCCCGTGATAATGCGGCATGTCTCATTAAGAGCCACATCCACTGTTTTAGTGTGGTGAGATGTGTTCCACACTGGGCATGCATACTCAGCAGCAGAGTAGCATAGCGCAAGGGCAGATGTCTTCACTGTGTCTGGTTGTGATCCCCGGGTTGTGCCAGTCAGCTTTCGTATGATATTGTTTCTAGCACCCACTTTTTGCTTGATGTCCAGGCAGTGCTTCTTGTAGGTCAGAGCCACTGAATGAATCAACAACAACAACAGGGAAGCCAAGGAGGGAGGGAGGCGGGAGAGAAGGAAGCCAAGCAGGCCGGGTCCCTTCCCCACTTGCCCGGGGAGGCTGCGACTTTGTTTCGGGGGCTTCCTTCCGGCCCTGGAGCTGGAGACTTTGTGTCTTCTTGGGCCCCCCTCCCTCCCTCTCTTTCTCTGGGAGGGAGGGAGGACCCTTGAAGGAGGAGGGATATTATGGGATGCCGGGAGGAAGGCGGGGAGGGGAGGGACCTCTGGGTCCGAAGGCGCCTTTTTAGGGGGGGGGCAGCGCTGCATCCGGGCAACCCCCCCCCCCACACACACTTGGGGCCGAGTTCAGGTAGAGAAGGAAGGAAGGCGAGAAGGAAGGAAGGAAGGCAAGAAGGAAGGAGGTAAGAGGTGTGGGGCCGCCTCTGGGTGGGGGAATGGGTGGTGGGCCTTGGGTTGGGGAGGGGGCCTTCCATGCCTTCCCTGGAGGAAAGAGGGGCAGGCACACACACACCCCGGAAAAGCCAAGGGCGGACAAGCCTTCCCTCTCCTTGAAGGCAGGCTTGGGGAGTCCCTTCCTTCCTCTCCTCCCCCTGCCTTTCTTTCTTTCCTTCTTTCTTTCTTTCTTTCTTTTCTTTCTTTCTTTCTTTCTTTCTTCTCTTTTCTTTTTCCTCCTTTCTTTTTCCTTTCTTCTTCCCTTCTTTTTCTTTTTCTTTTTCCTTTCTTTCTTTCTTTTCTTTCCAACCTTCCCTCTTTCTCTCCTTCTTTCTCTCCTTCCTTCACTCCCTCTTCCCTCCCTTCGTTCCTTCGTTCCTTCGTTCCTTCCTTCGTTCCTTCCTTCCTTCCTTCCTTCCTTCCTTCCTTCCTTCTCTCCTCATCCCTCCCTCCCTCCTTTTCCTTCCTTCTTTCTTTTCCTTGCCTCCCTCCCTCCTTTCATTCCTTCTCTCTTCATCCCTCCTTTTCCTTCCTTCCTTCTTTCTTTCCCTTCCTTCCTTCCTTCCTTCCTTCCTTCCTTCCTTCCTTCCCTTCCTTCTTCCTTCCCTCATTCTCTCCTCATCCCTCCCCCCTCCTTTCATATCTTCCTTCCTTCTCTCCTCATCCCTTCCTCCCTCCTTTTCCTTCTTTCTCTTCCCTCCGTCCCTCCTTCCCTTCCTCCCCCCTTCCTCCTTTCTTCCTTCTTTCTTTCTTCTTCCTTTCTTTCTTTCTTTCTTTCTTTCTTTTCTTCCTTTCTTTCTTTCTTTCCTTCTCTCCCCATTCCTTCCTCCTTTCCCTTCCTTCTTTCTTTCCCTTCCTTCCCTCCCTTTTTTCATTCCTTCCTTCCGTCTCTCCCCATCCCTCCCTCCCTCCCTCCTTCCTCCCTCCCTTCTTCCTTCCTTCCTTCCTTCCTTCTTCCTTCCTTCTTTCCCTTCCTTCCCTCCCTCCCTCCTTCCTTTTATTCCTTCCTTCCTTCTCTCCCCATCCCTCCCTCCTTTTCCTTCCTTCTTTCTTTCTTTCCTTCCCTCCCTCCTTCCTTTCATTCCTTCCTTCCTTCTCTCCCCATCCCTCCCTTCCTTCCTTCTTTCCCTTCCTTCTTTCCCTTCCTTCTTTCTTTCCCTTCTTTCTTTCCCTTCCTTCCCTCCCTTTTTCATTCCTTCCTTCCGTCTCTCCCCATCCCTCCCTCCCTCCTTCCCTTCCTTCCTTCCTTCCTTCCTTCCTTCCTTCCTTCCTTCCTTCCTTCCTCTTCCTTCCTTCCTTCCTTCCTTCCTTCATTCTCTCCTCATCCCTCCCCCCTCCTTTCATATCTTCCTTCCTTCTCTCCTCATCCCTTCCTCCCTCCTTTTCCTTCTTTCTCTTCCCTCCATCCCTCCTTTCTTTCTTTCTTTCCTTCTCTCCCCATTGCCTTCCTCCTTTCCCTTCCTTCTTTCTTTCCCTTCCTTCCCTCCCTTTTTTCATTCCTTCCTTCCGTCTCTCCCCATCCCTCCCTCCCTCCCTTCCTTCCTTCCCTCCCTCCCTCCTTCCTTTTATTCCTTCCTTCCTTCTCTCCCCATCCCTCCCTCCTTTTCCTTCCTTCTTTCTTTCCTTCCCTCCCTCCTTCCTTTCATTCCTTCCTTCCTTCTCTCCCCATCCCTCCCTTCCTTCCTTCTTTCCCTTCCTTCTTTCCCTTCCTTCTTTCTTTCCCTTCTTTCTTTCCCTTCCTTCCCTCCCTTTTTCATTCCTTCCTTCCGTCTCTCCTTCCTCCTTCCTTCCTTCCCTTTCCTTCCTTCCTTCCTTCCTTCCTTCCTTCCTTCCTTCCTTCCTTCCCCCTTTCTTCCTTCCCTCATTCTCTCCTTCTCCCTTCCCCCCTCTTTCTTCTTCCTTCCTTCCTCCTCTCCCTTCCTCCTTTCCTTTCCTTCCTTTCTCTTCCTCCTCCCTCCTTTCTTTCTTTTCCTTCTTTCTTTCTTTTTTTTTCTTTCCTTTTCTTTCTTTTCCTTCTCTCCCCCCTTTCCTTCCTCCCTTTCTTCCTTCCTTTCTTTCTTTCCCCTTCCTTCCCTCCCTTTTTTTCCTTCCTTCCTCTCTCTTCCCTCCCTCCCTCCCTCCCCTTTCCTTCCTTCCCTCCCTCCCTCCTTCCTTTTTTCCTTTCCTTCTTCTCTCCCCTCCCTCCCTCCTTTTCCTCCTTCTTTCTTTCTTTCCTTCCCCTTCCTTCCTTTCTCTTCCTTCCTTCTCTCCCCTTCCCTCCCTTTCCTCCTTCTTCCTTCCTTTCCTTTTTCTTTCCTTTCCTTCCCTCCCTTTTTTCTCTTCCTTCCTTTCTTCTCCCTCCCTCCCTTCCCTCCCTTCCTTCTTCCTTCCTTCCTTCCTTTCCTTCCTTCCTTTCCCTCCCTCCCTCCCTCCTTCCTTTTTTCCTTCCTTCCTTCTCTCCCCATCCCTCCCTCCTTTTCCTTCCTTCTTTCTTTCCTTCCCTCCCTCCTTCCTTTCATTCCTTCCTTCCTTCTCTCCCCATCCCTCCCTCCCTTCCTTCTTTCCCTTCCTTCTTTCCCTTCCTTCTTTCTTTCCCTTCTTTCTTTCCCTTCCTTCCCTCCCTTTTTCCTTCCTTCCTTCCCTCTCCCCCTCCCTCCCTCCCTCCTTTCCCTTCCTTTCCCTTCCTTCCTTCCTTCCTTCCTTCCTTCCTTCCTTCCTTCCTTCCTTCCCACCTTTCCTTCTCCTCTTCTCTCCTCATCCCTCCCCCCTCCTTTCATATCTTCCTTCCTTCTCTCCTCATCCCTTCCTCCCTCCTTTTCCTTCTTTCTCTTCCCTCCATCCCTCCTTTCTTTCTTTCTTTCCTTCTCTCCCCATGCCATCCTCCTTTCCCTTCCTTCTTTCTTTCCTTCCTTCCCTCCCTTTTTTCTTCCCCTTCCCTTCCCTTCTGTCCCTCCTTCCTTCCCTTCCTTCCTTCCTTCCTTCCTTCCTTCCTTCCTTTCCCCCCCCCCCCCCCCCCCCCCCCCCCCCCCCTCCCCCCCTCCCTCCTTCCTTTTCTTCCTTCCTGCTCTCCCCATCCCTCCCTCCTTTTCCTTCCTTCTTTCTTTCCTTCCCTCCCTCCTTCCCTTCTTCCTTCCTTCCTTCTCTCCCCCCTCCCTCCTTCCTTCTTTCCCTCCTTCTTTTCTTCCTTCCTTCCCTCCCTTTTTTCTTCCTTCCTTCCATCTCTCCCCATCCCTCCCTCCCTCCCTTCCTTCCTTCCCTCCCTCCCTCCTTCCTTTTATTCCTTCCTTCCTTCTCTCCCCATCCCTCCCTCCTTTTCCTTCCTTCTTTCTTTCCTTCCCTCCCTCCTTCCTTTCATTCCTTCCTTCCTTCTCTCCCCATCCCTCCCTTCCTTCCTTCTTTCCCTTCCTTCTTTCTTTCCCTTCCTTCCCTCCCTTTTTTCCTTCCTTCCGTCTCTCCCCATCCCTCCCTCCTTCCCTTCCTTCCTTCTTTCCCTTCCTTCCCTCCCTCCCTCCTTCCTTTTATTCCTTCCTTCCTTCTCTCCCCATCCCTCCCTCCTTTTCCTTCATTCTTTCTTTCCTTCCCTCCCTCCTTCCTTTCATTCCTTCCTTCCTTCTCTCCCCATCTCTCCCTTTTCCTTCCTTCTTTCTTCCCTTCCTTTCCTTCCCTCCTTCCTTCTTCTTCCTCTTTCTCTCCCCCTCCCTCCTCCTTTCTTCCTTCTTTCTTTCCCTTCCTTCCCTCCCCCTTCTTTCTTTCCTTCCTTTTCTCCTCATCCCTCCCTCCTTTTCCTCCCTTCTTTCTTTCCCTTCCCTCCCTCCCTCCTTCCCTCCTTTTTTCATTCCTTCCTTCGTTCTCTCCCCATCCCTCCCTTCTTTTCCTTCCTTTCCTTCCTTCCTTCTCTCCCCGTCCCTCCCTCCTTTTCCTTCTTTTTTCCCTTCCTTCCTTCCCTCCTTCCTTTCATTTCTTCCTTCCTTCTCTCCCCATCCCTCCCTCCTTTTCCTTCCTTCATTCTTTCCCTTCCTTCCCTCCCCTTCTTTTTTTCTGTCCTTCCTTCTCTCCCCATCCCTCCCTCCTTTTCCTTCCTTTCTTTCCCTTCCTTTCCTTCCTTCCTTCTCTCCCCGTCCCTCCCTCCTTTTCCTTCTTTTTTCCCTTCCTTCCTTCCCTCCTTCTTTTCATTCCTTCCTTCCTTCTCTCCCCGTCCCTCCCTCCTTTTCCTTCTTTCTTTCCCTTCCTTCCTTCCCTCCTTTTTTCATTCCTTCCTTCCTTCTCTCCCCATCCCTCCCTTCTATTCCTTCCTTCCTTCTCTCCCCGTCCCTCCCTCCTTTTCCTTCTTTTTTCCCTTCCTTCCTTCCCTCCTTCTTTTCATTCCTTCCTTCCTTCTCTCCCCGTCCCTCCCTCCTTTTCCTTCTTTCTTTCCCTTCCTTCCTTCCCTCCTTCCTTTCATTCCTTCCTTCCTTTTCCCCCTCCCTTCCTTCTTCCTTTCTTTCTTCCTTCCTTTCCCTCCCTTCTTTCTTTCCTTCCTTCCTTCTCCTCCCTCCCTTCCCTCCTTTTCCTTCCTTCTTTCTTTCCCTTCCTTTCCTTCCTTCCTTCTCTCCCCGTCCCTCCCTCCTTTTCCTTCTTTTTTCCCTTCCTTCCTTCCCTCCTTCTTTTCATTCCTTCCTTCCTTCTCTCCCCGTCCCTCCCTCCTTTTCCTTCTTTCTTTCCCTTCCTTCCCTCCCTCCTTCCTTTCATTCCTTCTTTCCTTCTCTCCCCATCCCTCCCTCCTTTTCCTTCCTGAATCCTAGAGTTGGAAGAGACCAGGTGGGCCATCATCCAGTCCAATTCCATTCTGCCAAAAAGCAGGAATATTGCATTGAATACACCCTGACAGATGGCCATCTATCTAGCCTCTGCTTCAAAGCCTCCAAAGAAGGAGCCTCCACCACACTCAAGGGCAGAGAGTTCCACTGCTGAACATCCCTTCTCCCAGTCAGAAAGTTCTTCCTCTTGTTCA